GTCGGGGCGTGGCCTGACACCTAATGTGAGCGGACGCACTTGATCGGAGCTCCCTGGCCGGCGGCGATAAAACTGGACAAAAACGAAGTTTACACGACAAAAATGGGCAATAAAAAGAAACACATACCCTCCCAGAGCCTACCGGACCCGGGCACGCAGAAAAATCCCGGCGGTCTGGACAAATACTTTCGCGACACGGTGAAGATTCTAGGCGACGGCCTAGACGAAGGCATTCAGGCGCCATCTTCCCCACAGTGCTTTTCCCCGCATAGCCTGGAAGGATCAGATTCAGCTCCGGAATGGGGGATGGCAGACATGAAAGAAATATTAAGAAACCTACCTTCTAAAGATGATTTGGCAGACATGCTGTCTAAATTGGAATCTTCAATGCAGGATCAGATTTCCTCACTGTCCTCCGAGATCAGGCAAGTAAACAGCAGGGTGGGGGACCTGGAGGAAGACAGGGACAAACTGCTAGACAGGGTCCTGGCACTAGAACGCAACCAAAGTTGCAGTGACAGCAAACTTCTATACATAATGAGAAACACAGAAGACTTGGACAATAGAGGCCGCAGGAACAATATAAGAATAAGGGGATTACCAGAGCCACAAGGCTCGCCTGAAGACTTACACCAGACCCTGCAATCTCTCTTTAACAAAATATTACAGAGGCCAGCAGAGACGCATATTCTTCTAGACAGAGCCCACAGGGCGCTGAGGCCTAAGCATATTTCTCCTGACTCCCCCAGAGATGTGATCTGCAGAGTACATTATTACTCTGAAAAGGAAGCCATCATGAGGCAAGCCAGAGACACGGCAGACATTATGTACAACAACTCAAAAATATTGCTTCTCCCAGATCTGGCGTGGCTTACTCTGAGAGGCAGAAGAACCCTGAGACCACTCACACAGGCACTACAACAGGCCAACATCAAATACCGATGGGGATATCCTTTCTCTCTGACAGCCACACATCAGGGCGCCCAAGCCACACTAACATCGGCGATGGAATCAGAGGCCTTCACTCAGCGCCTGGGTATACCCAATATTGATATTCAGGACTGGTACGACATAACAGAACCCGAACCAATTCCACCTCATCCTCAAAGAATGAAAGGTCAAGCTGCAGATACAAGAAGGAGGACGACGTGGAAGACCCCACCTGCATCGCCTTTCATGAGACCGAAGAGACCGCAAGGGACCCCGAGGAAAATAATCTGAGTACAGACGAAAGGACATAGATCATGGGTACAGTACCCACAATGATAATGCACATCTTCATTGTCAGACTGTTAACTCTGAAAACGCCCACCTAAAGGGCTCTGGAAGCGGTAACTATGAACAGTAGAAATATGTCTTATAGATCTATCGATAAGTTGGTACAAATGTACATTTAATGTTTTGGTTAACTAATATTTATAGCATTGAGAACTGTAAGGCCACACCGAGAAAGGTGATTTAGGTTCAAGAGCGGTTATAACCACAAAATCAGGCTTTACAGGTAGATCACTACAGATTTTAATCACAATCGAGCCCAATACTTGACCAGTAACACAATGCAAAGTGAAACGTGACCGCCTAAGGGGAAGCTGCACAGGTGCCGAAGTTGCATCCAGCTGATCTACCCTTGATTTAAACCCAAAGTGAACAAATCACTTTTAGTCAAAGTGTCCACGCTCCCGCCGGACATAAATTAGGACCAGTTGAGGTCCTGAGCGGTACCTACCTTAAAACTCTACGTTTCTGATTTTGTATCTTATTCACCCCTGAGCCAGTATAAAATTACTGGATATAGTCAGGGAATTGTACCGTCTCCTCCATAGGGGTCTGGAAAGACTATTCCATAACATAAACCTATATAGCTAAGTGTTTCAGGCCTCTATTAATCCACGAGGAAGTTCAACCTCTCTCTAGAACTACTCCTCGTAGGACGCCAAGTTCGATAAATACTCCAGTTTAAATTGTAAATAGTTATTTTTCTGTTCTTTTAGAATTATTTGTTGTTGAACTCCTGTGCTGTGAAAATTCATACGCCAAGCCTTCAAACATACTCTCTCCCAACACAAAGTATCCTCTTACTCACGTAAACACCACATACACATAAATCTTAGTACAACCAATACTATTCAAAGCGCAACTAGGCGCCTAGCATAGACAGATTTAGGATCATGGGATCTTTGAGAATATGTTCCCCAAATGTCAGAGGGCTTAATACTCCAGAAAAAAGAAAAATGGTGCTAACGGACCTGGTGAAAAATAAAACAGATATTGCATTTCTCGAAGAAACTCACCTAAAGGGCCCGAATGCACCACAACTCAAACACCCGAAATTCAAACAAGTGTATTATAATAATTATAACAAGAGTAAATCCAGGGGAGTAGCTATACTAATAGGAGTTAACGTACCTTTTACTTACTCCACTCACATCTCAGACGAATCAGGCAGATTTATCATTATACAGGGCACGGTGGGGACGCACCCAATTACGCTTGTCTCTATATACCTCCCCAATAAACACCAATGCGGGGCACTCAGAAAGATCTTGGCTAAAATTAAACAACATACAAACGGCGTACTTATCATGGGGGGAGACTTCAACGTCTCACTAGATGCCAAAAAAGATAGCACGTCTCTTAGCTGTAAACATCTCACAGCCACAAGATTACAAATGCAACACATCATCCACACACATCAATTAGCAGACTGCTGGAGGATATATCATCCAACATCTAAAGACTATACACACTACTCTTCCCCGAACAAATCTTATTCTAGAATAGATTACTTCCTGATTTACCATAGAGACCTAAGCCTGGTAACAGACACCTCCATAGGCCCAATGACTTGGTCGGACCATTCTCCTATCTACCTCACAGTCACTGTCCCCTCCCTCCCCAGACCCAAGGGACTATGGAAACTCAATCCCAACCTGCTGCAAACAAAAACAGTTAGAGAAGCGACTCAGAATACGATCAGGCTCTACTTCCAAGAAAATAAAACCCCAGATACCTCTGCATTTGTGCAATGGGAAGCACATAAGGCAGTAGTAAGGGGAGAACTAATAAAATGGGGGGCCCAAATCAAACGGGAAAAAAATAAACAGATTGAGGAACTTTACAAAAAAATTATACAACTAGAAAACGCTCACAAACTTGACATGACGGACGCAATTTACTGTTCACTACTCGCCCATAGGACAGAACTTACCGCACTATTACAAGACAAGGCTCGGAAAGCCATCCTATGGACAAAACACAGATACTATGCGCAGGGAAACAGGTGCGGCAAACTACTCGCACAAGCTCTTAAACAAAAGCAGGCGCTCACATACATCCCCAAAATCAAACGCTCAGATGAGTCGTTCGCTTACACCTCAGAAGAAATAGCTGATACATTCCACACTTACTACACCTCACTATATAATCTGAAAGAGAGGGGACCCAACATAGAAGACTTAAGAAACTTCTTGGAGAACAAATTCGACACAACTTTGCCGCCTATGGCGACAAGATCATTAGAAGAACCCTTCACATTAGATGAACTCAAAATGGCACTCAAACAGACACCACACAACAAGAGCCCGGGGCCGGACGGGTTCTCAGCCTCCTACTATAAGATGTTTCAAGCGGAACTTAATACACACCTGCTAGAAGCAATCAACTCTATCCCACAACACAACCTTATACCGAGTCAGGCGTTGGAGGCGACAATCACGCTGTTACCCAAACCAGGGAAAGATCTGGAGAAGTGCGCCAGTTATAGGCCAATATCTCTCATAAATGTGGATATAAAAATTTTTACTAAAATGATGGCCTTGCGACTTAAACCATTTCTCCAAGATCTAATCCATCCAGACCAAGCAGGCTTTGTGCCTGCTAGGGAAGCAAAAGATAACACATCCAAAATTATAAATCTAATTCATTGCACTTCATACACACAAACCCCAACACTACTCCTGGCAATAGACGCAGAAAAGGCCTTTGACAGGGTGGACTGGGCCTTCCTTATAACCACACTTGAGATGTTGGGATTTGGCAACAGATGGATCCAATGGGTAAGAGCCATATACTCTCAACCTACAGCCCGCCTAAAGGTAAATGGCCAACTTTCAAAACCATTTAAGATAAGTAACGGCACCAGACAGGGGTGCCCATTATCCCCTTTATTGTTTATTCTTTCTCTAGAACCCCTTCTACAGGCAGTGCGACATAATCCTGATATACAAGGCATCAAAGTTAACCAACAGGAATATAAAGTGTCGGCCTTTGCCGATGACTTACTATTCACCATTGTAAACCCATTACACAGTTTGCCCCACCTGACAAGAGCTCTATCCGAGTATAGTAAAGTCTCTAACTTCAAAATCAACATTGACAAATGCGAAATTCTCAACATTAACTTGCCCCCTGAACAGGCACATAGCCTGCAACGCAAATACCCGTTCCAATGGGCGCCCAACTCCATCAAATATCTCGGGATAAAAATAACTAACACTCATAAAACTCTATATAAAGAAAATTTCCCTGACATACTCACGACAATCAAAAAAGACTTAGATAGATGGGATAAACCACATTTTCGATGGATGGGACGAATAAACATTATATCCATGAATATATTACCACGCATCTTATACCTTCTGAACACTATCCCCATACATATCCCGACTGCCTTTTTTTGCTCAATTCAGACGATACTTACAACTTTTATATGGGCAAAGAAGCGCCCGCGCTTAGCATTCAATGTACTGACCAAACCAAAGGGGAGAGGGGGATTGGGATGCCCACACATCCAAAATTACCATAAGGCAATACACCTAGGGAGGATACTGGAATGGTCAAGAAAAACAGACACTAAGGCATGGGTTCAAATAGAACAATCTCAAGTAGCAACCCCCCTTCAATATCTCCCATGGACAGTACTGACAGGCAAAGGAAACTCCCCAAAAGACCTACCCACCATAGGGGCCACTCTTGAAGTATGGGCAAATATAAATCCAATGCGCCACTTCACACCGACACCTTCGCCACGATTCCCAATTGCTCATAACCCGAGATTTCCAGCAGGCAGGGACATCAGGAATATGAGTAAGACCATACCTAACCCGGGGGACGGAAATATAACACTACGAGACCTAGTCACTGGGGACGGACTATTACCACTGACTGACCTCGCGGACACACACCATCCAACCATTACTCAAACATTCCAATATCATCAGCTCAAACATTTTTTACATAAAGAAGGACTCTTACACTGGCAGCCAAGAGAAGAGACCCAATTTGAAAAACTCTGCTCCACGCCGCCGAAAACCAAAATAGTATCTAAGTGTTATCAACTAATCCAAGAATGCACGAACAACTCTCTCCCGTGGTTCACTGCAAAACACCAACAATGGTTGTCAACCCCGTGGGAAGAAAAAAAATGGCATACTACCTTCACTAAAATGATGAAATCACACTCAAGCATAACAATACAAGAACCAAATTTTAAATTTCTTTCCCACTGGTATATAACACCTGTAGACGCCAACAAATACGATACCAACACCTCACCGCTATGTTGGAGGTGTCTGCAAGAACGAGGCACATACCAACACATATGGTGGTCATGTAACAGAGTAGTGGGGTTCTGGAGAGAGGTGGCGAGGATTACAGGCAAACTTAGTGGCACAACTATCCTAGCTACACCCGAAGCACTTCTTTTTTACAACATCCCGGTAACTATGCGCACGTTTCGAAACTCATTAATACTGTACTTCCTTACCGCAGCTAAAGTAGTAATAGCAGGGCTCTGGAAAACTAGCAAAAGACCGTCAAGGAGAGAATGGTTCAGGAGAATTGATGATATTTATAAACTGGAGGAACTAAGGATGTCTACAATAGGGAAATCACAGCTGTGTCAAACAATGTGGGAACCATGGAAAGCTTATCTCAAAAATTATACTTAGGGTGTTAGACTTAATTCACAATAGAGTGAGGATATATAGAATACATGAGCACAATCACAGATTCGTAGGAGGGAAACTCACAGGACAAATAGTCGCTAATAATATTGTATACATAAATTGTTTTATTTTTCGTAACCAATTGAAAAAAAAAAAAAATCTGTTACTCAAGTGTAAATTGTTTGTACGAAGTCTGAATGTATTATTATATGTCATACAGTTTTTTTCTTTCAAAATGCTATATGTCATGTAACGCTTATAACGAACATGCAAAATAAAAAATAAAAAATATAAAAAATACCTCCCAAATGTCCCTATTTATAAAAAAAAAAAAAGTCCCTGTTTTAGACCCATATCCCTATGTTCCTCTTTTCTATCCAATTGTCCCTCTTATCGCTGTAATATGTCTTTAAACTACAATAAGTGTGTTTAGAAACCAGTTTATACAAGCTTTTATGTACATTACATTTTAATTTCATACATTTTTATTAGTAAGTCACCTAAAATTTCTCAGTACAGCCCCACTCCTGACCTTACCCCCACTCCCATCCCTAAAATTCAAGTGTCACTTTTTGTCCATGTAAAATTTTGGAAGGTATGAAGCATCCATAACAATTTGTAAAACACAGATATAAGTTTAATGCATCAAAAATGAGTTCATATCAGAACATATTTTTGGAGCAGAAACCGTGCAGTATGGCTAATGTCTGTGCTGGTTAACAAAGCACTTACATGACTCATAAATAGAAACTCATAAACTTTAAATGTTTCTTGTTACTTTTGGTTCCATTTCAAAACTTTATAGATGCAAGCCATTTTACATGATTCGTCATCGCAGATATTTCATCTAATTATTGTGCACCTTTGCAGAATATGTGGGGCTTTAAAAAAAATACAAATAGGTAATAAAATATGTGCACATATATTCTACACTAATACCAGCAAATAAACCAGTGCAATGTTGTTAAACAGAAATGGACTTATTAAGCAAATTAAGCAATTTGAGGTAAAATGTCAAGTTTAATTGTAAGAAGTCTTGTTAAGCAATACCCTGTTTTGTGAGCATAGTATGCCCCCGTATAAGAAGATGAGCCCCGTTTAAGGCCTGGGTATTTCAATATAATGTTTTTATTTCTAAAAATGGCTTATCCTTGCCAATGGCCAGTATACGGTTAAGTAGATTAAACAGTCTTTACCTCTCTCTTTTTTTCTCATTCCTACCTTACCTGCCAATTACTTTTTTTTTTTTTTTTAAAGCTGTTGCATATGATATTCGGCTCCCTGTCTCCATGGAAAAGTTTAACTGTCTCTCAATTGCGTGTCAGTTAGCAGAGTGACAGCACACGGCTGAAGCGTGTTAGCAAATGCAGCCTGTGATCTAAATAGATTGTGGCATATTCCAAACATGTAATAATAATTAATCCTGACACCTTAATCTGCCACTGAAGTTTAAATGTACAGTATTAATCTACAATTAGGCAATACTGCTGTAACAAGACAATGTTTTCACGCAGACCCATGACTTAACTCTGGGAAAATATTGACACAAGAACAAAGGGTTAAATTGGGCAGCTGGTCCTATTTCCTGGTATATTCAAGTTATTTCCATTCTGACACAATCATGTGGGTGATAGGTCAGCAGTGCAGAAATTTTAAAAATGATACACGTGGAATTGTCAAAACAAAAGTCAAATCATGTGCAGTCACCTGCAGTCTTATATCTGTATATATACAGATATAAATGTATATATAAGATACTAAAACTTGTGTGTATGTATGTATGTGTGTATATATATATATATATATATATATATATATAATTTTTTTTCCTGTTACTCAAACATAGTTGTTCAATAAACTCATTTATTTTTCTTTTTGCAAATATATATATATATAAAAATAGATGTATCCCCTGCACTCACGCTTACAAAATAGTCCAATGCCGGGCGCACCACCAGAGCTCCAAGATATGTAAAAACCAACAAGAAGGAAGGCTGCTCTCCGGACTTTAAAACAAAAAATGTATTCAAATAATATTAAAAAATTACAACCAACGTTTCGGTCCCCATTCGGGACCTTCCTCAGGGTCAAAAATAGGACAACAATACTGTATTGTCTTGTTGTCCTATTTTTGACCCTGAGGAAGGTCCCGAACGGGGACCGAAACGTTGGTCGTAATTTTTTAATATTATTTGAATAAACTTTTTGTTTTAAAGTCCGGAGAGCAGCCTTCCTTCTTGTTGGTTTTTTGTTGGTTTTTATATATATAATTTTATATATATATAATGATAATTTATTTTAATCAGTGGTTCCTGAAGGGCGTTCTGTACAAATGGCCATATGCAAGTGTCCACAATAGAAAATGTCTCCATATTTGCTTCTATCCTAAATAGTGTGATTCAGTTCTTCTCACCTTATGAATGCAACCATTCAATTAGAGACAATGCGAACAATAGAGTCTTCAAACACAAAATAGTACATTGAGACATTAAGGCTGATAATGATAACCTGCCCACTCAATGCACATGACATTACACAGTTTAGAAAAGTGACTATGACTTTTTCTAACTCTCGGTTCAAAAATCAATAAAAAACTAATTTGAGGATTTGGGTGTGTACTTGCCAAAAGTGGTCAAAAACAATTATCAGAGAACTTCATATGGAGAAAGAATTACCAGAACTACCCCCAAGGTAACACTTGTATCATGGCACCCAATGAGAAAGTAGTTAAGGGGATATATTTACCTAACTTTTTCCCTCCTCTGACATTTTCCCTGTCACCATGCCTCTATAGCTTCTGGTGTTTCATCATCTAAGAGTCATGTCAGTGCAAAATAGGGGTCCAATGAAAACGTTTGTGAGATCTTACACCGATTTTTAGCATTAGTATAACAGGATGGTCATAAGCATGTATTATGAATCACATGTGAAAATGCATACAGTATGTTGCTCAACTGGCTTAATCCATTAATACATTTTGCTAAAAAAAATGGATTATACATGAAAAAAAAGAAATCCACACTTTATTTCATAAATATTTTATGATTGCACCGGGAATACAAAGAAATGTAGTCAACAGGAGTTTTTCATAAATATTCTCATAGTTATTTACTAAAGTGAGAATTTCCAGGAATTCAAAGTGTATTCAATATGAATTTCAAATTTAAGGCAAAAGCTGAACTGGAGAAATTCTCCCAGGCAGCTATAATTCTGGTTCAATTACTTTGACCTTAAATTTTAAATTCACTTTAAATTCCTGACAATTCTCCATTTCGTAAACAACCCTGTCTGTCTTAATAAGGACTTCATAAGCTAGTCTTCTTAGATTTCTATAAAACATTTTCCAGTCTTGTTGGTAATTGATTTTTCATGTAATTAACCAATTCTGTCCTTTCTTCTAGCTAATAAGCTTTGTATTCATATTTTGCCATTCACAGCTTTCCTGCGTGTGCCTATTCAGAATGGCCCTGCATCTAGGATTCCTGTTATCACAGAGCTGAGTAAGTCTTTCTTTGAGTGGTAAATTCACAAGAGTAAATGTGCTCATTGCATTATTAATAAGGATGAGTTTAAAAGTTCCTCTTAGAAGCTGAGCAAGCTCAATTTCTCAATGCTTAGTAAACATGAAGAGGTAGCCTAGGCAAGTCTAAGCAAGTAGTAGATGAAAATCACTATCATAAAAAAGGTATTTGAGAATCAGGAGGGTTATGAAACGGGTTAATGTAATGTCAAAGCATTGGTGAGAAGCCATGTGATGTGCTCTAAGTAACATTGACTAGCTGGGCCAGAGACATGATTCATGTTTAATACAATTCAAAATTCAATGCATGCTTAGCCAACTGTAAACCAAGTATGCTAGGAGGTTAGACATGAACGAAGGACATTGGAGTAGCTTGGAAACCTCTTTCAATGTTAACATATTGTAATGTAATGTAAAACTTTAAGTGCATGCACACACACATATGAATGCACACATACACAAAGGAGCTGCCCCCAATTATGTAGAAGGGGCTGTTTGTGGTGATGTGATTGTGTGTAAAGGGGTTGTGTGTGTGTGTGTGTGTAAAAGGCAGGGTATGCAGAGCGCGGAGATGCTGAACACCAGTACTGCCACCAGAGGTGTTATTAGGCAGCAATGTAAACACAATGTTTACATTGAAAAGCCAGCGGGGACAGGCTACATACACCAAAACCACTACATTGAGCTACTACATTGAGTTCTGGTGACTATAGTGTCACTTTAATGTTTTATCATTCACACTTTCTTTCCTTCTTTAGTTAAAGCAGCTCTGACACTTTTTAGAGTCTTTGCATATTTTGTAGTGACTTCCAATGGTGACTTCTCCGCTTGCAGTGCGGAGGCCGGGGTGCAGGGAAAAATAGATCTTAATTACCTGAAACTGTCCCCTGTGGCCACCACCAACTTGATCTGGTGTTTCATTTTCAACTACTAGTGCTTCATCTGCAAGCGACCGACGTCAGTGCTGTACTCTGTACATTATCCACTTATGGATAATATATACTGCAGGGATGTACTGAAATGATTGATTTCCTGTATGTAGGGGTGCCAGATTCATAATCTTTTTCCTCTACACGTAAAATGTCTTCATTATGAACAGCAAATGAAAAGTGCTGCCCTGCAATATATACAATTCATAAGCTGCTGTGGAAAAATATTTTACTTAATCACTTGCTAGTCCCAAAATAACAATAATAGATTTCCATCAGTCAGCATATGACTTTTACAGCGTGAGGTTAGCACTTTTCATTTTATAGCCTGAGGAGGATATATATATATATTCAGGAGAACATTGTATATCTAGCAATCCACATCTTCACTGTACATTTTTTTTTTATATAAGTGAGGTCAGTAAAATCTGTTTGCCATAATACTAGCGAGGGTTAAGGTATCTACACAACCTGAGGTTTGATGCTGCTCCAAGAGTTACATTTCATGCAGGCTGTCAGATCCTTCATTCTACCCTGGATCCAGCAGTTGTACATGCCTGTCTGTGACCTGGCAAATGTACGCTTGTTATTTTAGCTTTTCTTCTCCTCAGTTACCGATGACTCTGCTGCTAAACGCTGTTAATCAGCACGCATGCCACTAATTAAATCATCTTGTGTGTATTAGCAATGAAACCACCTCACAAATAAAAGCGACGGGTGTCTATGGTTTAATTAGGAGCCCTCCAAAGGTTCCAACGCGCTTGGAGGTGATGCTTGTCAAATTAATGTTACATGGCACAGCCTGTTATGTGACTGCACAGGGAGGCTGCCTCACTCTGCAACCAAAGCAGAGCAGACAGCTCTACAGGGAAGGATTTGAGATCTGTGTCATCCTGCATCTGTTACACAATGCTTCAATGAAAGTGTTACCCTCTTTAGGGTTAAACCAAAGTGCATGATATGTGGCATTTAAAGGGTACATTACAGATTTGTTCTCATTTGGAAAACCACACAGGAGGGGCCAGGGCCAGGGCCAGGGCCAGGGCCAAGGGACTTATCAGTAGAACAGTAGATACAGACATAGAGAAAGTGATAGGCAGGAATAAAACTTAACGAGGAGAAATATACACAGCATAAAAGTAACACAAATGTGACACATTTTTTTCTGCAGCTGATTCATACCTCCGTTATTTGGAAATCAGGACAGAATTGTGTGCTGGCAGACACCCTCAAAATGCTATTTTTGTTGTATGTCATCCTGACCCTCACAGCTCCTTTTGTGTGCATTTCCGCCTCCTTGTGTGTGTCATTTTTAATTCCCCCTTTACCTCTTTGTAAGCCCTTAAACATGCCCCTGAACCTTCCAAAAAGAAAAAAAAAAGCATCAAGAGATTGTAGATGGAAAATCTGTATTAGTGATAGGCAGCGTTCGGCACTCACAAAGTTGTGGACTACATATCCCACAATGCTCCTACATCAATAATGCTGGGAACATCAGAGGTGATGAACTCCACAACATCTGGCCTACAGCAATGTTATAAATGTGGTTGCTGGTCTATTAGAATAAGGATAGTCACAATGGGGATTGCCAGTATTTAGATAGTAGAAGTGGTAGTTATATAATGTCTTTGTATCTACCTTTTGAGCACCCCCAATAGCAAGTACAATTATTTATATAGCACCAACATTTATGTAGTGCCTTACAATAGGAAACAAAACTAACTTTTAATACTAACAAAACAGGCCTACACAGCAACAATGGGTAAAGGGGGCCCTTCCCAAATGAGCTTGCAATCTAACGACATTCTAAATGGCAGTGGTCCACACTGCTGCTGTAGGCCTAGCCAAATCTACACAGACCCCTTAATATGTTATCAACCAATCAATAGGTTGCATGTCACTTTACACATGTTTATTGTACTACTTTAAATGTCTATGCATTATGTTCTTTTTTTCGTTGCTAAAGTAATTATACAATTTAAATCAGAAATTACATTAATTTAAAGTCCTACAAGTATATTAATATAATGGGCTCATCCCTTTTAGCATTCAGTTTTTTTTTTCAATTTTTGAATTTTCATACAACATGCACACATTTGAATTCAACTTGTCCTGAAAAATTATATATCTTAATGTTCTATGTTCTGGTAGAGCATTATAATGTAATGATTGGACCTTGTTATTTTAAGTGGTAGCACATAAACTGAGACAAGTTAGATAGCTCTCAGTCCCAACACTAATCTTGCATATTTGAAGCATGGTACTCAATGCACTAGTTACCATTTTATCAGATCATGACTGTAATGACGTAGAAATGCTTCAGAATCTTAAAATATCATTCCAAATTGGTACATTAGAATCCAGCTGATGTGATAGTCTAGCAGACTTGCTGGTAAAATAATGCATACATAAAGACATATGCTCAGACTTGCTGTTAGTGAGATGGAGCAGTCTTGGTTTGGTTGGGAATATCGATAGGCTGAAGGTTTGTCCCAATTACATCCAGTTGATCCTAGATGTAAACCGTTGGCACTTTGGCATCATATCCCACCCTCACCCTGCAAGCTTCTGTCCAGCTCATGACATATGAGCAGAAGCTGGGAGATTTGAGACTGAGAGTTGGTGTTTGATACAGGGCCTTACACGCAGCACTACCTTTCAGCATGTTCTAGGTATAAGATGTGGACATCCTGCTTGGAAATGTACACAGCAGGTTCAGAACCAACTGCTTTTTTATTAAAAAATATCTGAACATATCCTGCCGCCACCTTAAATCTATCTACCTATGTCTAGTCGACCTTTTTAATATGTTGTTTCAGGGATTAATTCAGTATAATATAGACATTTCTACTCAGTCTTTTATTCAATGTGCTCTGGAAATATACATGAAGGCTATGTCAAGTAAGCAGTTTCTCTATACACAATCAACATTAGTAAACTCCCGGTGAAGGTAAAAATTCTCCTCCATCCCATAGCAGACAGATGCCTTCTTGCACTCCTCCTTAGATTAGGATATTAAAGTAACATTAAAAATAACATATAAAATATATATGTATATATTGGTTCAAAATTGCTTTATTTCTGTAATTCTTTGTTTCTTAAGTGTAGCTAAGTCCAAGTTTAGAGGTCATTGTAGATCATTCAGGGTATTTTTCTATAACACCATTCATTACTTAAAACACAAAACTGATATTTTTATTGTTATTTATTTGCAGTTAAGTACAGTTATAGAGGTTATGATAGGTCATTGTATCTCAGGGTATATTATAGTGACAGTAATTTTTTTTGCTTAGCCTTATTGACAAAGGAGCTGTTACTTTGAATCTTCTATTCATCCAAGTGCAACTTTGTTTCTCAGATTTGTTTATGCGAGATATGGCATGTATGTACATTAATATGATCTCCATTAATAACACACAGAGCAAGCATCAAATGTTACCTTTATTAATGAGGATGTCGCTAGACAATCTCAGAGCACAGAGACAAATCCTAATCTTACAGCTGCATTTGCTTCTGGGTCTGTGTTTTCTGAAGATTTTCTGGATTCACTTATGTCCATGGTAAGTCACCTTCATTCTCCTATTAAAATGTAGAGTCTCTGCTCAGTGGGTGAAAAAGGTAAAGAACTGGAAAATAATGGGCATATGCTGGTTCCAATGCTAACCTGATTGAGTAGTCAACAGGGGAAGATCTTTGGCAGATCAGTACCGGGTTACCCATTAAGTGGCGTATGCCATCTAGGGCCCGGGATTAGAAAAGGTTCAGCCCCCTTCCCACAGCTCCTAACCTACTTTACACAACACCCAGCCAACACACACAACACTCACAGAAACATAGTCCAGGGATCTAGGGGATGAGGCAATCTAGTATCCTGCCTAGGGACCTGGGAAATTTTGATCCAGCTTTGAGTCTAATTGTAACTGTATGATTGTCAATTATCTGTATTCCAACATAGGCTCTGGTCTAACTAGCCCAAAAGGTTAAACATCAGTTTGATAACCCCTGATAGACTAATAAGGATACTGCTATAAGTGGCAGATCCCTTGGTGAGTCACATAACATTCACCTTCAGCATTAACATTTAACAGTGTTGTTGTATATTTGTGTATTGTGAAACAGGTGCTGACAGTTCTCTGCTTGAAATTAAGGCATTTTGTTCAAGTCAATAATTGTATATTTTGTGTTTGTTGTATGAGTTATGCTTTTTCTCCATTTACACAGGTAACTTCAAACTACATTTATTTATATATATATATATATATATATATATATGTATATATATATATATATATATATATATATATAGTTATGTTTTGTACCTTATTTGGTCAAACCCCAACTGAATTTATAAATAAAAATTCCATTTTCATTTTAGCTATATGATAAACATTTTTTCTTTTTATCTTCCTTGTACTGCGGGTGAATTTCAGCTTTTAATTGTTCTCAGAAGTCTTTATGACCTTTATGAAAATAAATACCTTCTGATTAAGCATTTTGTTTTCCTGTGCCCATGTTTAATTATCCCAGACTGACAAACAGGTTTAATATACTTTGGATGGTCAGGCACTGCCATTCACTGCCTTTACTACTGTTCTAAATTATTTAAGCAACTTCAAAGCATTCATTAATAATTTATATCTAATTATATAGGAGTTTAGAATTGATCATGAGAAATCCTCCATCCACTCTTATTTTCGCAATTTCAACCAGCTTGACCACTATTTTGAAATTAAGGAATTCCCTTAGACCTGTGCAATTTATGTTGTCCTTAAAAACAAAGTTAATGTAGGCTTATTCAGGGGAGTAACTAGAAACCTTAAAACCTAAGGGCCCCGGTGCAAGAATCACTTTGGTTGCCCGCTATAGCAGAAGAGCATAGCAGAAGTGACCAATAGGTAGAACTTCAGCTGCCGTACAAATCCTATGATGTTTTACTAGCTGTTGATCGACTGTTTTCCCAACCTTGCAGGGTTTTATTTATGAGCAACATCTGTGAATATAGGCATGGTTTTGTATGAAATATGTTTTTGTGAATGTTTGTGTATGTGTGTATAATGCTGATGTTTGAATGCAAGGGGTCTGTTAGTGTGTAGTGTGTTATCTTTTAATCGTAGGTGTGTGTAATGTTGGTGTTTGAATGCACATTTTTTTAATGTAGTGTTAATGTAAGGGGTGTGTTTGTCTGTAATGTTTGCATCTGAATGTGTGCTGCCATACACACATACATGGGTACATTGCCATACATAAAAACATGCATACACTGCCACACACAAACATTCATTAAACATATCATTGGTGATTCCCTGCTTCACTGAGCGCTAGAGCCACAGGGGAGAGGATATTATAGAGCAGTGATGGTGAACCTTTTTGAGCCCGAGTGCCCAAACCGCAATACATGCCAACATTTTTTCTCCTTAAAGTGCCAACACCGCAATTAAACCCAAATACTGAGGTTTAAGTTTAGAAAAAAACAACTCGTACTGTTGTCCGAACTAATAACTTTTGTTTTAAAAGAACACAGAGAGTTCAATGATACAAATTTTAAATAATGATATAAATAGATAAAATTAAGCTTATATTTATTAGTATCTCCAACAAATGCAATACATACACACAGTCTGCTGAATACACACACACAAGACTGCTGAATACAGAGACTGATGAATACACATACAGACAGACTGCTGAGTACACACACACACACAGACTGCTGAGTACACACACACACTGAGTACACACACAGACTGCACACAGACTGCTGAGTACACACACACACACAGACTGCTGAATACACACACACACAGACTGCTGAGTATACACACACACAGACTGCTGAGTACACACACACACACAGACCGCTGAATACACGCAAACACAGACAGACTGCTGAATACACGCACACACACACAGACTGCTGAATACACACATACTGCATTGAGGTGGGGGGTGCGTGTGTGTGTGAGTGTTGTATGTGAGGGGTGCTGTGTGTGTGTGGTGCTGTGTGTGTGTGCTATATGTGTAAGGGTGCTGCGGAGGGGTAGGGGTACTGTGTGTGGGGGGTAGGGGTACTGCTGGGAGGGTTGGGGTACTGTGTGTGGCGGGTAGGGGTACTGTGTGAGGGGGTAGGGGTACTGCTGGGAGGGGTGGGGTACTGTGTGGGGGGGTGTTACTGTGTGTGGGGGTAGGGGTACTGCTGGGAGGGTTGGGGTACTGTGTGGGGGGGGTAGGAGCACTGCTGTGGGGGGTAGGGATACTGTGTGGGGGTAGGGGTACTGCTGGGGGTAGGGGTACTGGGGGAGTAGGGTACTGTGTGTGGGAGTAGGGGAGTACTGCTGGTGGGTTAGGGTGCTACTGGGGTTAGGGTACTGTGTATGGGGGTAGGGGTACTGTTTATGGGGGTGGGGTTACTGCTCTGGGAGGGGTTACTGCTGGGAGGGTTACTGCTGCTGGGGGTGCAGGGGGTTACTGCTGGGGGTGCAGGGGTTACTGCTGGGGGTGGGGTGCCAATGTGTGTATGGGGTAGGGGTTACTGTGATTGGGGGTTACTGCTGGGGGTGGGGTTACTGCTGGGGGAGGGGTGGGGGTTACTGCTGGGGAGGGTAGGGGTTACTGCTGGGGGTAGAGGTGCTGTGTATGGGGGTAGGGGTTACTGCTGGGAGGGTAGGGGGTTACTGGGAGGGTGGGGTTACTGCTGGAGGTGAGGGTTACTGCTGGAGGTAGGGGTACTGCTGGGGAGGGTTCTGCTGGGAGGGTGGGGGTTACTGCTGGGAGGTGGGGTTACTGCTGGGTTGGGGTTACTGCTGGGGGGTAGGGGTTACTGCTGGGCAGGGTAGGGGTTACTGCTGGGGGGGGGTAAGGGTGCTGTGTGTCAGTATAACCCCCCCCCCTCCTTCTTACCTTTGATGAAGTGGGGGGGGGGACACAGCCATCCCTGGTGGTCCGGTGGTGGTAAGCACTGCAGGGGGAGGGCTCCATGAAGCAGCTCCCCTGTCCTCCCGCGCAATGCTGTGTGGAGCGTTGCCATGGTAACGCACGGCACCGCTCCACACAGCATCGCGCGGGAGGACAGGGGAGCTGCTTCCTAGAGCCCTCCCCCTGCCTCCCGACCCGGAAGCAGAGTAGGCGCCTGCCGTTTTGGGCAGGCAGGTGTCTACTCTGCATTGATGGCGAACCTGTGGCCGCGTGCCCACAGAAAGGGCCCCGCGTGCCATAGGTTCGCCATCACTGTTATAGAGTGTATCAGCAGGCGGTGCAAACCATGCAATTTACTACTGGACCCAATCCTTTTTATATGTCTGGTTAGCAGTATATTAAATAAAAATGTAATTGCACTTTTCATTGGGACCTGGCTGGAGAAGTGGTGTCTGGCGATGGACTCTGTGCAGGGCAGCGTCAGGTGAGCATATTGTAAATTAAGTAAGCTGCCTGCTGATGGGTCCTCTGCCAGGTGGAATATCAAGGCCTGCTCAGAGTTTTGATCTTTACGACCCTGGTTGTATCAGCAGTGGGCTTAGTGTACATTGTTTCAGCTGTATAAAACTCAATGGAGTCTAGTCCACAAGGATAGGAGGGACAGTGCCCCTACCGCAAGTTGTTTGTTGACATAAAATCAATTAGAGTTGCAATGACTAATGATAAGTATGTAATAGAAAATATATATTGTCTGTCTATATTAGTTTGCAGTATAGTTCCCCCTCTTTCTTAATGAGATGCTGATGAGAGGATTAGTAAATAATGTCAAGATCTGGGACATGTTGAAAATGTGCCCTATTTTTGAGTATACATTCCTGAGACATGCTTATTATGCTCTAGAAGGGTTTCTGATGTCACCCATTTGCTTTGCATTTGTCCATCAAATTGTCTAGGGCCTAAAAGATATTCCTGGGTATTGTCTTGTTTTCTAGGGCTATAGATAACAGCATCAATTTGTGGAATCACACTTCTTTAAAATTGTTGTTTCCAAAAAGGAAGTATCTACAGGTTTGTGGTATTGAACAGGGCATGATATCTTATTGAGTCATGTACTACTGATCATAGTATGTATTTTGTTTGGAATTAAACTGTTCAAAATGTGACATTTCATCAGACTATTCTAATGGTGTCCAGATTACACACACGTTTCATTTTTGTCTGCATATGATTATTTATAATCTATCATGTATATCTCTGAGTACACTCATCAATTCAGTAGCAAAAGTTTTGGAAGCCATATTTATTCCATCTTGTAAATACTAACTATAAGTACAATTGTGTGTGTCGTTTTGTAGCATGTAGGAAATTAAGGTTCGAATAATTAAGTTACAATTCAGTCATACAATTGTGTTAGAACAAAAGAGTTTGTTATGAAGACCATGGGGTAGGCGGTAGGCTGATGATACAACACAAAAACAGTAGTAAAAGAGTAGTATTGTCTTAGAACCAGCTATCCAGTTGAAGCTGTAAAGGGTAATTCTGCAGTGCTCGGGGTTTACTTTAGGCTGCCCTGAAAAACTGTCTGAGATTTGGTGTACAAGGGAACACTGTTATAAGGAGCTAAATTAATTTTTTTTTTTTTTTGAAAAGAAATTGTTTCATTCATTAAATATTCAGTGAAAATGAATCAGGAAGTGTGAGTAAATCAATTAGTCAAATGTCTGTCAGAAGATATTACGAGCAACTAAATAATTCCACATCAGATGTCATACTTCATTTTATATTTATGTTCAATGTGTTATCTTCCCATTCACTGCTGCTGTCTCTTTACATGTCAGAGGCATTGTGGAGTCTTACATGCCAGAGTTAAAGACACGCAGTTCATCCTTCATATCTGATGTCAAGGCAGGAAAAGCAGAGACGTTAAAGTAATTCATCACTTGCAAAATAGCAATATATATATTATAACAAGACTAAAACATCAGCAGCAGCACTCATACTAGCTAAGCAGTAGTGGCCAATCACAGGTGTAACTTTAGAGTAACAGCCTAGAGACACTTAATCTTTCTCTATATCAAGTGCTGAATCACTGTCAGCCACCCAGTAGCTTGTACACTTCTGAGCCTTGTATGGGAGATAATCACATGAATCTTACAAATTACTATTGTTGTTTTTTTTTTTTACCATCCAAGCTGTACTTTTAATAATATACAATTAGATTTTCTCACCCCTCCTGAGTGGTATGTTTATTTCTCATTCTCGGGTCCTCTACCAGAGGCCTGGGAGTTTGAGGGTTCTGCGCAGTATCTTAGCTGTTCTTAGAACTGCATTCTTCTGGACAGCGATCTCAGTTGTCCCACCTGGAATATGTTGAAATCACTCCCCCAACTTTGGAGTCACTGCTCCTATCACAACTGGGACTACTACTGCCTGCTACTGATTTCACTTTCCACATCCTTTTTAGTTCTTCTTTCAGTCCTTGGTATTTCTCCACCTTCTCGTGTTCCTTCTTCCTAATGTATTGCCACATCCAGCATGACTGCAGTCTTCCATTCCTTGTCTACCAACACAATGTCGAGTTGGTTGGCCAGCACTTTCTTGTCTGTCTGGATCTTGAAGTCCCACAGGATCTTAGTCCTGCTATTCTCAACTACCCTTTGTTGTATCTCCCATCTGGACTTAGGCATGTCCATCCATATACTGTGCAGATGTTTCGGTACTCTGTATATATAGAGTACCATATATATGTATATATATATAGAGAGAGAGAGAGAGAGATTAGATATATACATATACACATTTTAGAGTGGCCTTTTATTGTGGCCAGCCTAAGGCACACCTGTGCAATAATCATGCTGTCTAATTAGCATCTTGATATGCCACACCTGTGAGGTGGATGGATTATCGCGGCATAGGAGAAGTGATCACTAACACAGATTTAGACAGATTTGTGAACAACATTTGAGAGAAATAGGCCTTTTGTGTATATAGAAAAAGTCTTAGATTTTTGAGTTCAGCTCATGAAAAATGGGGGCAAAACCAAAAGTGTTGTGTTTATCATTTTGTTCAGTGTATATACAGTTAGGTCTGAAAATATTTGGAAACTGACCCAATTTCAAAATGTTGTCTCTGTACACTACCACAATGAATTTAAAATGAAACAACTGAGATGCAATTGAAGTACAGACTTTCTGCTTTAATTCAATGTATGCAATGTTTAGGAATTGCAACCATTTTCATACAGTCCCCTATTTTAGGGGCTCAAATGTAATTGGACAAGTTAACACAATCCTAAATAAAATGTTTTTTAATACTTTGTTGAGAATCCTTTGTAGACAATGACTGATTGAAGTCTGAAATGCATGGATATCACCAGATATGAAATGCATGGACATCACCAGACACTGTGTTTCCTCCTTTGTGATGATTTGCCAGGCCTTTAATGCAGCTGTCTTCAGTTGTTATTTGTTCATGGGTCTTTCTGCCCTAAGTTTTATCTTCAGCAAGTGAAATGCATACTCGAACGGGTTGAGATTGGCTGAGTTATTGACTCAGCCATTGCGGAATATTCCAATTGTTTGCCTTAGCATCTCATGGGTTGGTTTCACAGTATGTTTTTGGTCATTGTCCATCTGTAAGGGGAAGTGCCATCTAAACAACTTCGCTGGATTTGGCTTAATCTGAGCAGACAGTATATTCCTAAACACTTCTGAATTTATCTGTCTGCTTTGGTCTTCTTTCACATCATCAATAAACACAAGTGACCCAGTGCCATTGGAAGCCATGCATGCCCATGCCATCACACTGCATCCACCGTGTTTTACAGATGATGTGGTATGCTTTAAAACATGAGCTGTTCCAAGCCTTCTCCATACTTTTTTCTTCCCATCATTCTGGTACAGGTTGATCTTAGTTTAATCTTTCTAATGCTGTAGAATGCTGTACCAGACCTGGGGTGGCTTTTTAGATGCTTTTTTGGCAATATCTAATTTGGTCTTCTATTCTTGAGGCTTATGAATGGTTTGCACCATATGGTGAACCCTCTATATTTGCTCTTGTGAAATCTTCTCTTTATAGTAGACTTGGATAATGATAAGTCTACCTCCACTTCTTCATAAAAGCATATCAATTAAACTGTTAATAGCTCCTGACTGATTCCTCTTCTGCAACTGTCACTAGTCTATACTACTAACCTTTTTGTGTCATTTTACCCCACTCCCTCTAGCATGTAAGCTCATTGAGCAGGGCCTTCAATCCCTCTGTTCCTGTGTGTCCAACTTGTCTGGTTATAACTACATGTTTGTTCGTCCACCCATTGTAAAGCACTGCAGAATTTGATGGCGCTATATAAATATCATAATAATAATAATAAATGGCTGGATGCTGTGAAAGGGTTTTTTGTTTACTATGGAAAGGGTCCAATGATCATACATTGGATTCCGTGGACGTCCAAGCCTTTTTGTGTTGTAGAACTCTATACCCTATCCTGGGCACAGGGTGACCAAAACACAAGAGCAATCTGAGAACCTACATAAAGTGTCCATCTTCCATCCCCAGTGATATACTCATAGTTTAAGTATAGGCCACTAGTGGTTCTCATTTTACTTATCACGTGTTTGACACGGGGTACTTTTAGTTTTCTTCTCTTCTGTTTCTTTTTCTATATTAGATTGAATTAATAAAGTTTATTTCTTTTTAAATCTAAGAAGTGTTTAATAACTTTTGGGACTTTCCTCAGGATATCAAAAGTTTTAATCAGAAGTTGTGAATGCAGACTACCATTTGGAGTTTTGCTTTTTGTAAAGCTTTGCGCCCATTTTAGACACAATGAAAGTGTCATTATCACATTGCACAATAGAAAAATAGTTTTCCCAGGCTGTCTTAATAATTATATTAGTAATTTTACAAAAGCACCTGTAGGATATGTGGCACAGTACAATACGAAAGAATATGCACACGACATATTAAAACCTAAGATGGTATAGTGAGGCTTGTTCTCTAGAGTTTATAATCTAAAGGGACAATGGTGGCTTCCAAACCTCTTGACCATGACATGCACACAGTTTGAACAGAAATATGTGGTTTATGGGAGGTTACCCGGTTGCCTGCAAGATGCTAGGGTCATGGTATCAGCTCACATGCTGCTGTTGTTCGCTGCTATTGCAACTGAAGTTGTTACAGACTTCTAGATAAAAAAATCTAAAGATCCATTTTACTCTTTCCTTCTATTATTTTTGTATTTTCAAAAATCTGCTAAGAACTAAATGATTTATACTGCACTTTTGAATTAATAACATTATTGTTTGCTTATTGCATTGGTTCGTCTTTGAAGTTTTCCCAAATATCTTCTTGTGTAGCTCGGTTTCTTGTTAAATAAGAAAGAAGCTTCAAGAATCCCTCATCTGTCACATGCTTTTAAAAACGTTGTCGAACTTAGAGCTAGTTTAAGGCTTAGTTCACTGTATATGGTATATTCTATTAGTTAGTCACATCAGCACTATTATAGTATATATTTATGTTGAGGTGAGTGCAGGCTTTCTGTTCTATATAATAAATAGGAGTAAAACTAACTCCTGGTTTTCAAAATTCCCTATTATAGGGCTATGTTTAATCCTTGCAATGCAGAGTCCCAGAAGATGGATGCATGATGCTAGTGGGTTAACCACAGGAAAGCAGTCATTATGCTGCGATATGGGTCTACATTTAATATTTTTGGATAAGCTTTCAAATAATTTAACATTTTTGGATAAACTTTTCAAATGACGTTTTTCAAAATATTTAATTTTAAAATAATAAGTAGTGTTTAAAATATATCAATATATCAAACAATATTACACATTCTTCCAAAATATTAAATCACTTTAAAATTGTATCCAAACATATGAAATCATTTGAAATGCTTTTCTATGCCATATAGTGGGCAGTGTAGCTGGGTCACACTGTGAATGCAATTGATTAGTTCCTTTATTCAGGCTGTGGAACATTGTAGGCTCCCACCATGGATTCTCCTTTATATCATGCTCAGCCAATCCCTGGGCATATAAACTCTATGCCTTATGCTCTGTTCAAATAGAAAAGTTAAGACCTTTTCATATATATGAGAAATAATAAAATATACATTTATTGTAAATATGATATTATGAAAAATATGAAAAAAAACAAACCAATGTAAGCTTCACTTGAAAAAGAGTATTAGATCGCATTGTATCTTTCATGTGGTGCTTTTTATGTAATACAATGAAACATATATAATTTCAGTCAATATACAGACAATATTCAGGTCATGGATTTTGCAAATATGCTCAAGGCCACAGGTGGCATCCCATTGGGCACCATTTGCCTATGCCATTGTGTCTAGTAGTTTAGATGTTTGTGTTAGAGGAGATGGGATATATTATATGACTGACATGTAGCCTGTGTAAATGCTTTTTTTGCCTTCCAGCTGTGTTTTTCTGATCAAAGCGTAACTTTGTTGATTTCCAGTTATCACGCTTTAAACAGCAGGCTTTTTGAGATGCTCAATACATTTCTCCGTACTCTCTTTCTATTTTTTTAGCTGTAAACTCCTAAGTGACTGACACAGACTTCGTATCTCACAATATAAAACAGTGCATTCACAAAATGTTAAGAAACTGAGGAAAAATGTGTCGACGCAGTAAAAAGGCCTGCAGCTTAAAGTGAAATTGCTAGGCAGTGGGTTTAAAATAACTCTCACAGGGTATTCCATCCTACTATTGTCATTTTAATAATACTATTTCCTCCAAACAGAGCTATTTCAACTGGCAGGTGTTGGCATTACTGCAGATCTTGGTTACAGGAGGAACTACTCCAGAACTGGAGGAGCAGCTAGGGGAGGAGAATGTATTGATAAAGAGCACTCCAAACACAGCCCATGCTGCTCCAAGGAACCGCTGCAAACTATCCCTTGTCCATCTCACCGACTGCAGGCTGAAAACTAGTAAAGTGAGTCTTCAATGTCCAAAACATATTCTGTGTTTTACTTAAAGGGACACTCCAGGCACCCAGACCACTTCTGCCCATTGGAGTGGTCTGGGTGCCAACTCCCACCGCCCTCAACCCTGCAACTGTAATTATTGCAATTTTTATAAACTGCAATAATTACCTTGCAGGGTTTAGTCCTCCTCTAGTGGCTGTCTATCAGACTGCCACTAGAGGGACTTCTGGCTTCTTAGAACACAAAAAGCGTTGCCGGAATCCCCATAAGAAAGCATTAAATGCTTTCCTATGGGGAAGTCTAATGCGCGCGCATGACCATTGGCACACATGCGCATTAGGTCTCCCCTGCTGACGTCAGCCGTCAGAGGAGGGTAGGCGGAGACTGACCCAGCGCCGAGGGACATCAGCGCTGGATTCTGGTAAGTCACTGAAGGGGTTTTAACCAACATAGGATGGGGGGTGGGAGGGAGAGGGGCACTACAGGATCCTGCAGTGCCAGGAAAACAAGTATGTTTTCCTGGCACTGGAGAGTCCCTTTAAACAGTGACATTATAATTAAGAACTATTGGAGCGTGTAGTAGGTTGCTGAGTGGAAACATTAATGCAGCAAGTTAGGGGTTGCCCTGTGATCATGTATCTATCATAGGGCTGTTAATGTAGAGCAACAGCAAGGTAGTGCCAATCACAGGTTGCACTGCACATGAATACTGCAAGACAGTCATTCATGAGTCATATAAACATATGCTTTATAATTGAAACACAAAATAAAGTAATATATGTAATAGGAGAAGGGGGTAGCACCTTGGTATATTCTCAGAGATATATATGTTCTTAGTGGTAGTTGAATATGTAAAAAAGAATAATGTAACAAAATACAGTGCAGTATAGGCTGTACAGGAAAATATAGAAAAACACTAAATGTACTTACTGAGTTTAGAGCTTGAGTAGCTATTCTTCTTTTTTACATATATACATATATTTTACAACTACCGCTACCTACTAAGAACATATCTGCATCTGAGAATATACCAAGGCGCTACCCCCTCCATCTATTACACGTATATTCTATTGGACCAGAACAGAGAGACTCTTGTTTGGATGTTTGAGCTGCCTATTTTTTTTAACTATATGCATTAGAAACCTTGTTCCTGGAGATTTGCAGTATTATATGTATTTTATATATATATATATATATATATATATATACACACTGCTCAAAAAAATAAAGGGAACACTTAAACAACACAATGTAACTCCAAGTCAATCACACTTCTGTGAAATCAAACTGTCCACTTAGGAAGCAACACTGAGTGACAATCAATTTCACATGCTGTTGTGCAAATGGGATAGACAACATGTGGAAATTATAGGCAATTAGCAAGACACCCCCAATAAAGGAGTGGTTCTGCAGGTGGTGACCACAGACCACTTCTCAGTTCCTATGCTTCCTGGTTGATGTTTTGGTCACTTTTGAATGCTGGCGGTGCTTTCACTCTAGTGGTAGCATAAGACGGAGTCTACAACCCACACAAGTGGCTCAGGTAGTGCAGCTCATCCAGGATGGCACATCAATGTAAGCTGTTGCAAGAAGGTTTGCTGTGTCTGTCAGCATAGTGTCCAGAGCATGGAGGCGCTACCAGGAGACAGGCCAGTACATCAGAAGACGTGGAGGAGGCCGTAGGAAGGCCGTTTAAGAACAGTTTGACAACTTACCTGGGGACTGCTGGGATATAGGGCATAGGAGCAGTGGTGTGTGTGTTAGGGGTGAAGTGTGTGTGAAAGGTGCAGTGTGTGTGAGCGGTGAAGTGTGTGTGTGTGTGAGTGCGTGAGGGCTTCAGTGTATGTCAGGGTTGCAGTGTGTGTTAGGGGGCAGTGTATGTGTGTGGCAGTGTGTGTGTGTGTGAGGGTAGCAGTGTGTGTATGGGGGGCACTGTATGTGTTTTTGGGGCAGTGTGTGTATGGGGAGGGCACTTTATGTATGGGGGGCAGTGTGTGTGTGTGGGGCAATGTGTGTATGGGGGTGCAGCAGTGTGTGTAGGGCACTGTATGTGTCTGTGTGTGTATGGGTGTGCAGTGTTTGTGGGAGGTGTGTGTATAGGGCAGTGTGCAGTGTATGTATGGGGGGCAGTGTGTGTGGGGCAGTGTATGGAGGGGAGCAGTGTATGTACGGCAGGAGTGTCTGTGTGTGTATGGGGGCAGTGTTTGTGTGGTGGGTGTGCAGTGTGTGTATGGGAGTGGGGGGCAGTGTGTGTGGGGGCAGTGTGTGTGTGTGTATGGGGCAGTGTATATGTGTGTATGGGGGCAGTGTATGTGTGCATAGACAGTGTGTGTGTGTATGAGGGTGATGTTTGTATAGGGGGGCAGTGTGTGTGTGTGTATGGGGGCAGTGTGTGTATGGGGGCAGTGTGTATGGGGCAGTGTATGTATGGGGCAGTGTATGTGTGTATGGAGGGGCAGTGTATGTATGGGGGGCAGTGTATGTGTGTATGGGCGGCAGTGTATGTGTGTATGGGGGCAGTGTATGTGTGTATGGGGGAGGAAGGAGGGTAGGGAGGCTTTTTAAGAAAACATTTTTTTATTTAATAAAATATATTGATGTCCCCCCTCCCTTCTTACCTTTATTGAGGAGGAGGGGGGACATTTCTCCGTCCCTGGTGGTCCCAGTGGGAATCCCTGGTGGTTCTAGTGTGGAGTGAAGTCTAGCCCGCGATCCAGGGCTAGACTTCACTCTCGCGAGATTTGGAGCGTTGCCGTGGTAACCGCGGCAACACTCCAAATCTTGCGAGAGGAGGACCCGGAGGAGCTGCAGACTGAGCTCCCGGGTCCTCTCTCCTCCCTCTCCCTCCCCTGCTGGCTGTCAACAATGTGCCTGCGGACCGGGGAGGGAGAACTCTGATCTTTCTGCTCTCCCTCCCCAGTCCACAGGCACATTGCAGGGCTGGCACTTGGACAATGCCAGCCCTGCATTAGCCGGCAGGGGAGAATCTTGGGGAGGCAACTGCCCCGTTGCCCCCCCCCCCCGGATCCGCCAATGGTTCCACCATATGGCAATATTGTGTTAAGGCCACCACTACTTCACAGTACCTTAATATTGGTGTGTGCTACACTAACTCAAACGTGGGAGACAGATCAAATAGTACTAGTGCTAAATAAACTGAAGTGTATTTAAATAATCTATTTGTAAGAGCATTGTGAATATATATAATGTAAAATTAAGATGATAAATGCTTGCTGGTTAACTTTAAAGCGGCACTGTCATGCCGAATCCCGTTTTTTTTTTAACCCCCCTCCCGCCTCCACTACATCCAACTGACCCACTAGTCACCCCCAAATGCCCCTAAGCCCCCCACATTACCTATTTTTAAATCCTTATTTTCTGCCCCGATCTTGATTCAGGGCGCAGCCATCTTTGTGTGGGTAGGTGAAGTCCCTCAGGGACACGTCATCAGCCCACACTAGGCAGACGCTGAGATTCCCGCACATGCCCAGTGAAACACCTGGACATGCGAACGGGAATTTCAGCTATTCATTCATTCATCAGAAAGGCGAATGAGTGAATAGAAATATCAGCCGAACAAACAAACACAATGTATCAGTGTTTGTTTGTTCGTTTAGTTTATTACAAGGAGGGAGCTACCGGCATGCAGCTCCCTCCTTGTAATATGTAACTATAGAAGCGGCAGGGAGCAGTGCTCCCCACCACTTCATAAACCCCCCCAGTACACCCTCTCACTCTATGGGGGTCAATATGACCCCCATAATAGCACAAGGGAGATTAAAATCTCCCAAATGCCCCTACTCGCTATACCGCGAGTAGGGGCATGTCTACTAAACAGTGAGCAGCCTATGGCTGCTCACTGTTGAAAAAAAAACATAAATTACAATAAGGGGGGGGCGGACCTATTGTCCTCCCCCCCTCCCCCTGCTGTCCTCCCCA